CATGAAGGACATTAGAAGGAAGGGAAAAATGAAGGGGGGATATCGGAGGGGGAGATGAACCATGAGAGACTATGGACTCTGAGAAACAAACTGAGGGTTTTAGAGGGGAAGGGGTGGGGGGATGGGTTAGTCCGGTGATGGGTATTAAGAAGGGCACGTATTGCATGGAGCACTGGGTGTTATACTCAAACAATGAATCATGGAACACTACATCAAAAACTAATGATGCACTGTATAGTGACATAACCTAATAAAATTAAATTAAATTAAAAAAAAGAGTACACAAGATCACTGTATTATTTCTTTTCTTTTTTTTATTAAGATTTTTTTTTAAGTAATCTCTGCATCCAACATGGGGCTCAAACCCACAACCCCAAATTAAGAGTTGCACGCTCCACTTACTGAGCCAGCCAGGCGCCCCACTGTATCATTTCTTATAACTGCATGTGAAGGGTGCCTGGGTGGCTCAGTCGGTTACCCGTCTGTCTTCAGCTCAGGTCGTGATCCCAGATTCCTGGGATGGAATCCCACATTGGGCTCCCTGCTCAGCGGGATGTCTGCTTCTCCCTCAACCCTTCCCCCTCCCTTGTGCTCTCTTTCTCTCTCAAATAAATAAAATCTTTTTAAAATATAACTGCATGTGAATCTACATTTATCTCAAAATTAGTTTAATTTTAAAATTTAGTTTCATTTTTAAAAAGCAATCTTTTGGCCCATGGAAAGGGGATGAAGAACAGCAGATGGTGATACTTCTCTGAGCAGACCTTTTGTACAGGATTTACTTCTGGATTCACATTAATGGTTTATATGCTCAAAAATATAAAAAAATTACAATCAACAAGGATGAAGGGAAAATTCTAAAATGAAATACAAAAGAACCCCCAAACCAACAACAAATGAAGCTAACTGTACTGCACATGAATAATATCACTATGCTGAAGGGAGAAAAGATTAATCAAGTAACTTTTGAATATAAATTTTTTATGTCACAAAACAAAAAGACTATAATTTCCTATGTGTACATATGCATTTAATTCTCTTCAATATACTCAAGAATCACTGAATTTGCTGATCACTACATCATACAGCAAATCTATGTTTAATATTTTCAGGAACTTCCAAAATATTTCCAAAGTGGCAATCCTGTAAACTGCAGGATTTTACAATCCTGCCGGCAGTGTATGAAGGTTCTGAGGACTCTACGTCCTTGCTGACACTTGTTAGTGACATTTATGTCAATTCCTTGGCTTGGATCTCCTCTATCGTGTGGACTGTGTAAATTCAAATTCCAAGTCCCAACTGGGAAAGCTTAGGGATATCAATCACTCAGGAGAGACTGTCCTACTAAGAGCCCCTGTAGACTATACATGGTAGGCTCAAATCATACTTTTATTCTACTTAACAAATACAGCAGGTACTAAATACCAGACATTGTGATAAACACTTCACAGATATTAAATTCTCATAACAGTTCTAAAAGGTAGGTACTATTATTATCTCTATTTTATAGATAAGGAAAATTGAGGCAATTACAGAAAGCCTGTATCAACATAGCTAGTATGTGGTGAACCGAGACTTAACCCCTTTCTCCAGTCTGACTCCAAAATCTGTGTATATTCATTAACTAATTAAAGTGAAAATATCTAGCAAACAATTAGAAATGTGGGACTGAAGCTTTTCAAAAAATATTATTTATTTTTAAGATTTTATTTATTTATTTATTTTTAAAAGATTTTATTTATTTATTTGAGAGAGTTGTGCAAGAGAGAACTCAAGCAGGGGGAGCAGCAGAGGGAGAGGGAGAAGCAGGCTCCTCACTGAGCAGGGAGCCCAACGCAGGGCTCAATCCCAAGACCCTGCAATCATGACCTGAGCTAAAGGCAGATGTTTAACTGACTGAGCCACCCAGGCACCCCTTAAGATTTTATTTTTAAGTAATCTCTACACCCAATGTGGGGCTCAATCTCACAATCCCGAGATCAAGAGTTGCATGCTGTACTGACTGAGCCAGTGAGGCACCCTGGGACTGAAGCTTTTTAGAGATCTCAAGGGTGGAGAGAGGTATTGGAGTTGCCAGCAAAAATAAGTCAAGCGCCATATTAAAATACTTAAAAGAGGCAAGAAGGACTAAAGCTAATCCTTCTATGCCTATATCTTGAGTAGGGGTGAAACAAAACTTAGAACAAAAAGGAGGCTTTCTCTCTCCCTTTCTTTCAACTTTCCCATATTTTTTTAAAAAGATTTATTTATTTATTTTAGAGAAAGAGATAGCACAAGGAGGAGGCAGAGGGAGAGGGAGAGAAAGAATCTCAAGTAGATTCTGTGCTTAGCGCAGAGCCCGACATCTCACCACCTTTAGATCACAACCTGAGTCAGATGTCTAAGTGACTGCACCACCCAGGTGCCCTTCAACTTTTTCACGTTTTTAAATGTTCTATAATGAATGTGTATTACAAAGTAAGAAAAAAGTTATGTATTTTTTGGGAAAAGATGGTGAAAATCCAACCTAGAGAGGATGAATGAAGCTAGAGAATGTTTACCTGTCATGAATAGAGTTGATATAAAGGTTGACAAACCAGGTGAGAGAGTACTGGTACATGGGATCAATGTTAGCCAGGTCTGCAATGCTGAAGAACAATACTGATGAATGTTTAGCAATGGCTCTGTAGCCTTCTCGAGACTCTGCTATTTTGAGTTCCGTTTTTTCTGCAATCTAGAAGAAAAGAAAAATCAGGATTAAGGAGTAGGAAATGTGTTTCTTAATTATGTATTTCTCATATAATAAAGTTTATATTTAAAAAAAGAGCCCCCAACTCAATGACAAAATTATAGAGGCATAGTTTATAAGAAAAGGCTTTATTATGATAAAAGCTAGAAAGAAAGAAAGAAAGAAAGAAAGAAAGAAAGAAAGAAAGAAAGAAAGAAA